CCCCCCCCCCCCCCCCGTCTGCAGGTATGCAGGTAGGTGTTGACAAGCCTAATACGGAGGAGGAATCGCTCTCTGAGTTGAGTCTGGCCGGCTCGTTCCATCCTCCTTGAGTCAAAAAAGTCAGTCAGTCGGCCCATTACACATCGATCGTCCCCCCGTCCACCCACCCATTTGCCCACCCAGTACTCATTCAAAAGAAACTTCGGTCACTCACTCACTCAGTCATGCAGCCGCACGCACGCACCCACGAAGAATTCACCGTTAACCAGGAATGTACGTATTACAGTGGCTCAGTGGCCTCTCCTCCTCTGTGTTGTCTTGTCTTGTATCTGGGTCTTGGTGTCTTAGCTCATTCGGCAGTGCCCATGGTGACGTCGTGATCGCTCGGCATCACCGAGCGGTCCCCACTGTCACCGCTCGACATGGGGTGGTCGTGGGACTTCGGGCTCTGACACACACAGTGGATCCGGTCCAGTCGGCTGTATACGTGTGTCTGTCTGTCTGTCTTTCTGGCTCGCTCACTCACCTCGACGTGCAGTTTCTTGGCGGGCGGTGGGCCTGCCTCGTCGTCGGGCATCTTCTCGTTGCCACTGGGGGCGCAATCCTCGCCCATGTTGTCATCCTCATCGGGCGCATCCGCCTCAGCATCCTCATCCGCCTCGTCACCGTCACCGATACCATCACCGGCAGCATCAGGCTCAACAACACCGACTCCCTCGCCCTCGGCCTCACCCGCTTCCCCGCCATGCTCCCCCTCCATATCGTCACGTGTCCTCTTCTGGCCCCTGTTGCTGGCGCCCTCGTCACTCCCTCCCACACCATTGACCTTGGTGTCTTCTTCCGTGGGTGGGGGAGGGGGCGGGGCGGGGGCATCGGCTGATGCCGACGCAGATGCAGACGCAGAAGGGCCCTCCTGTTGCTGTGGCTGTTGTGGCTCCTGTGGCTCCTGTGGTTGTGGGGGCGGTGGGGGTGGTGGGTGGTTGAAGATGCGGTTCTCGGCGTCGAGGAACTGCTGCAGCTGGTTGACCTTGAACTCCTGGTCGAAGTACTCGCGGGTGACGTGTGCCGAGTCGATCCAGAGCTGGTTGCCGTTGGACTGGCCGTAGTTGCGCGCATTGTTGATGCAGATGTTGAAATCCTCAACCATATCCTGCAGCACCACACACACACGCACCAGATGAGCCACCCATCCGTCCCTCGCTCCCTCTGTAAGTGTGTGGCCTTCACTTACCCTGAGCCACTTGTATTGTCCGTTGTTGAGCTTCTTTTGGTAGTGCTCGAAGCCATAGGGCAGGTCGGTCAGGCTGACGCGGTTCTCGGTGGCCTTGTGGACCTCCTCGGTAAAGGTGAGGTTGTGCTCCGCCTCGCCCTCGGGTGTGAAGAAGTCCATGGCGTCGAACTCGAGCACCTTGGCCGCGTTGAGCAGCAGCTTGCAATTCATGCTCTTGCACATGTCCCTGCAGAAACTGACACATCCACATATCCACACAGACAGACAGACAGACAGACACAGAGAGAATGAGCCATGCAAAAATGACATTGGCAGGCAGTGGTCAGGCTGTCTGTCTCCCTGTGTCTGTCTGTGTGGTGCACTGTCTTGAAAGTCTGTCCCTTACGCTTTGGCCTTGCCTTCCCACTTCTGCACCCACGGGTCCTGGGAGAGGTGAGAGATGAATGAGAGAACAGATGCACCATTCATGGTGCCCTGTGAACCACCCTCGAGTGTGCGTGTGTGTGTGTACCCTGCTTTTGGCGGCGGCGGATTTGCCCTTCTTTTTGTTGGGAGGTTTGTTGACAGGGCGTGGATCTTTAAAGGGGGCCGCCTTGTCCCACTTGGCAAACTGGGGGTACAGACGCTCAAACAACTGCATGAATCAGCAACAGCACACGCAGGTCGGCAGAGTGAGAGCCGCTCAGCGGTGCCTGTCGGTGTATACGTGTGTGGTGTGGCTACCTCCAGAGCCTGTGAATCGGCTGGGTAGTGGCTACCCAACAGGTCTACCGACAAACGATACACCCGACGGGGCTCACCCGTCTCGTCAACTGTGACACACATACACACACGCACACACACACACGCACACACACACACACATGGTCCACACATCCAACCGCCCCTCCCTCCCTCCCTCTGTGCAGCCAGCCAGCCTTGAGTTTTGATACCTGTCAGCCCGGTCAGAGAGCCTGACGCACTGCTCTGCGCCCGGCCGGCACTCACACTCGCACCACCATCACGCAATCCCACACCACCAACCAGCGGCAGACCAGGCGGGGGCGGCAACGGCAGCCCCTCCGACGGCGGCTGCTGCTTGTGCTCACCAACGCCACTCACAGACGGCGACACGGCCGAGAGGTTGAGGTTGGCCATCTGCGACGCGTCCGCGAAGGTGGGGCTCTGCGTTGCCGCTGGAGCGAGAGCTACCGGGGCGACCTGAAGCGCCTGCGATCCAGCCCGGCTTCTGCCTCTCCAGCCACCGCCACCCTTTTTGGACCGTCCCCCACCGCCCCCTTTGGATTTGCTGCCCTTGCCACCGCCCAGTGCGGCGCTCGAAGCTGCGCTGCGGTGCCTGCCTGAGTGTGCCTCCGCCTCGAAGAGCAGGCGCTCCTTCTCTGCGATCTCCTGGGGGCTGTCTTCCTTGACCTGGGAGCCGGGCACCTTGTTGCGGATGTAGTGTGACGGCAGGTGCTTGGCCTTGCCCTGCGACGGCTTCACACCCTGATTGATGCAATGCAGCATCCAACAGACAGACAGACAGACAGACAGACAGGCGGATGGATGGAAACGTGCGCAGCTCGAGTGGGTGGGTGGTTGGTCGATCATCAATCGCCTTTCTTTCTCCTCGACTTCCTGTCTGTCGTGTGTGTCCTGGCTGACTGACCAGTTCCAGGAGTGTCTCGACAGCAGCGGCAAAGCCGGCGTGTGCCGCGTAGTGGAGCACCGACTCATTGAACTTGTTGGTGCGGATCTGCAGCCCCGCCGGCTTGCAGTACTTTGCCAGCATACGGATGGCCTCGGCGTGCTTCTCGGGCGCGTTGTTGCGGCTCCCGGCCGCCCAGAAGACGGGCGTGCGGGCCAGGCCATCGATGTTGTCCCGAGCGTTGGCGTCAAACTTGTGTCGGTAGCCGGACTGGCCCAGGAGGTGCTCGATGACCAGGGGTTTGCCGTAGCTGGCGGCGTAGAAGAGGGCGTTCTGTGCGGCGTGGTCAAGTGCCCATGGCTCGACGTTGGCCTTGATGTACATCTCGTCGACGATCTCGATGGCCTCGTGCTCGTTGGTCCGCTGCACAGCATAGCTAGCCAGGTTGCTCCGAAACGCGTCAACACGAGTCCACTGCTCGGGAGGCTCACTGAATCAACGTACGTACGTCAATCACACGACACAGACAGAAGGGCAGAAGGACAGAGCAATCACGAGTGAATGACATTCATCGGACGGCCTCCCTTCTCTGTGGCGTCCCCTGGTGCATGTGTTGGCATCCCTATGTGCGTCTTACTTTTTGATCGCCTCCCTGAACTCTTGGATGGGCTTCTCCTTGACGAGCGAGACCAGTCTGGTCATCATGGGGTGAGGAGCGGTCGCCTGCGGCCTCGATGGAGCCACGTGGACCTCTCCATTGACGGGAGGCTGAGGCTGGTTGCTCGACATGCGCCTGAAAGGCACAACATGCACACAAAGTACCAATCATGGCAGCAAGAGGCAAAAATATGAAGACAGATGGGTCTTATGCACACACTAGAGGCTACATTCTCATGCTCGAAGGCATACTGTGCGTCCATTCGGCCTTCCTGTGCCTCTCCTTCACTGATTCGGAATGCGAGCTTGGCAAAATCGCAGGACTCACCCGATTTCAACGGGACGTCCTTGGATGGGCTTCTCCTTGTCGGTCCTCAAACACACCAAGCGAAAGAAGGGATGAAAAACAGCGTAGGAGGAGATTTTTGCTCATCACTGCGATTTAGGGCTTGGGGAGCATAGAAATCACTTCGGTTTCCGTAAAACCCCCGGTACCCTTAGGTCGCAATCCTGGCCAAACGGTTTCGGCCGCAGCCCCATCGCAGTGTGAGTGGTGGGTCGGACTAAACACCAGGGCCAGCTCTTGAATCATGTCGAAGACGACGCGTTCCGTCCGAATCGCCGCCCTCCCAGGCCACGTCGGCGATGTCCCTTCGCCTGAGACGGAGCACAGGTATGGCTGACTGTCTACATAGGACGTTGGGTCTGACTGTTGTGTTTGCCTCAGGATTGTCCTTGCAGAGCCAAGTGTGACGGCTGCCATAGAGGGAGGCTTTCGACACGGACAGCCTGGCGGCGACGAGCAGCAGACACCGCTGGCTTGCCTCGATTGGAAACTGGACGCTGGGACGCAATGGATGTCCTACAGCGAGAGGATCACACAGATGTGCCAGATTTTCCAGGACGAGCTGCAGCGAGTATTCGCGCACCAAATCAAGGTGGGCCCCACTTGCAGACACAACAGATGGAGACGCCAGTGGCTCATGAATTCTGTGGCGGTGCGTCTCTGTCCTGTCTGTCCCGTGTTTCATCAGAATTTGCCGGCTGTTGCAGCCCACCATATCCACGAGGTGCAACAGAAGGTCCAGTGGGCCACTCACTCCATCCTCGAGGTGAGGACACATACAGCAAACCGACAACCCACGTGTCTGTCCCACTTCCGATGTGATTCTGGCTCTCCCCCGTCAGCTCTTCGGCCGTTTCTTCCTGTCCATCCTCAATGGGTCGCCCTCCACTCCCCCTCTCTCCCTCCCCACCCCTGTCACGCCACCAACCACGGCCTCCAGCCCGCAGGAAGGCGGCCGACCCAAGTCCGCTTTCCACAGGCCGAGGTCAGCCTCGCCAGGCCCACAGATGGGCACACATCCGACTGCAGTGTCGCTGCGACCTCGGAGCGCGACGACCGGGCGGGAGAGGAGGGATGACGCTTGGAGACCGAAGATGTCTGTGACATCCATGGGGTATCTGTGCGAGATTTTGGGGGAGCTCAATGGCAGACATCACCAGCTCTCGGCACGTAGGCAAAAGAAGACAACGCAAGGGGGGTGAGAGAATGGTTTTTGGCTGTCGGTCCTCTTTATCTCTTGTAAGGTCATGATCGTCTCCTGCGTCGCTTCCAGTCTCTCCGCCGCGGGTACTACCGCGAGACCAACCACCTGCGGGAAATGATCGCCAAGTACTCTATCCACCTTCCCCAATACCTCGGTAACAAAACGGCGTGACACACACCTTCCATCTGCAGCCAGACGTGTCTCTTTGTGTGGGGGTCGACCGATCAGTGCGTGAGATGAAGAAGGAGCTGGACATCTTTTTCCTGGAGGGCCAGCAGTGGCTGATGGAGACAGGCGAGGAGACGGAGGGGGGCGACACGGCGGCGCCATCGATGAAGGAGAAGGACGAAGAGATCGAAAAGCTCACCACCGAAAAGCTGTCGTTGAAAGGGGTAGATATCTTGGTGGTATGGGGGTGTGGCCGCTTGTAGGAATGGTAGCTCTTTCGCAGGAGATTTATCGGCTCCAGAAGAAGCTGGAGCAAGCACAGGACAAACAAGAGAGCCTCCAACAGATGCTCAGGATGTCAAAGGTACCATCACCTGCTGCCAGCCAACCTGATGTACATACCCTTCCTTTGTTGGCTGGCAGCCCAGGGGAACCGTAGGCGGCGGCACCCCACAGATGGACGCGAGTGGGTAAGCAAAATAGCCGTCTTTGTCCTTGCTCTCAATGAAAGCAATGTCATGCTCTCCTTCTCAGCCAATTCATCCCACCTCTTCCGCCTAATGACGCCTCCGTCCAATGCGACGCCCCTCCAACTGAGATGCAAGGCGCCCAATGCGACATCGGCCAAGAGACATTCCTCAACGCCAAGTTCGGCACACTGCCGTCCCAACAGAAGGCCAAAGCGCCTTCGCCCCCACCCAGTCCCCCGAAGCACCCATCGATGGCGGCAAGGCTGGCGTATCGTGTCGAGAAGGCAGCATCGGTCTCGATTATGAAGGAAAAGGGCCTGGAAGAGCTGGAAGAGTGGGTCAGGCTGAAAAGTAAGCAAAAGGGTTGACATTCTAGCCGAGAATACATGTGTTCATTCAGGGGAGCAAGAAGAGGCAGAGGTAGGGGAGGCTCAGAAAGCTGAGGGGGTTGCGGAGGCAAGGGTTCCTGAGCCTGAGATCAGACGTGAGACAGTCGATGAGGGCACCATGTACGATGTCGATGTGTCTGAGGCCTTCATCACACAGGTACACATCTTGACAGATATTCGAGGAGAGCGTCTATGCCTCTCCTGGTGTCTGCAGATGCCTGCTCCCCCACTTGTTGCACCAGTAAAAATTGCGACGAGAGAGCGCGCAGTCCAGTGCACAATAATTTCCGCTGCACCGCCCGCTGCCTCTCCCGCTGCCCCTGCGCGCCCGCCAACCCCCGAGCAATTCGCCATTCCACCCGGCATGAGGGACAGACCCACACAGGTGCGCACTGACCTCTGGCCTTCATGATTTTCGTGTCTCCGTATGCGCCTGTCCGCTTGCAGGCCCCGTCCGCCCGTCCCACATCGGCCAAGCCTCCCCTCCCGCCACGCAGGGAAGGCGAAGTAGACCGGGAACGCGTCAAGGAGGGCGCCAGGAAGGTGTCTGTCAGCCGTGTGCCGCCTGCGCATGAAGCGCCTCGGGCGCCGACAGACATATCGGTGTCCCGTCCGTCGAGTGCTGTGTCTGGAGCCAGAACACGGCCTACCAGCGCCACTGCAGAAGGCCGAGGCGTGGCAGAACGAGTCGAACGAGGCAAGATTGAGCTCGAAGAAGGAGACACGATAGACGGCAATCAATCTGTGTATCTGGTGCTTTCAGGGCCATTGGGTCGGTTTCAGTATTACCCGCCTTCTGATAGAGCAAGGCAGACAATGGTCAGGGCTGACCACCTAAAGCATGTGTACGTCTGTGGATGTGTTACCCATGCTCCCTCCCCTCAGGTGTCGGAGCTTCGCCCTTCCTCTTCGTATGGCGACTTACGTCTCATGTCGCCGCCTTCTATCATGTCGGGCAAACAACCACCCGTCAAGGTTGGACACGGACACATAGGCCGACGTCCGCAGATACACCCCCATTCTCGTTCTGGTGTCCTGATTGCAGGACCTGTATCTCCGAGTGACGGCCCAAAAGATGACAGGCACATCTCTCGCCGCCACGCGACAGGCACTTGCAAGCGTCAGGTGCGCCACACATGCAGATGTGCAGGTGGATTTCTAAGGTTTCGTTGTTTGTTCAGGTCGATGCGTGCTCTGCAGGACCCCTTTCATGATCCCTTGTTCCACCTGGACCCGCCCAGTGAGCTGCGCCTTACATGATTGTGCCGTGTGTGTGTCTCGGTTTGTTCATGGTGGACTGATGTTATGTGTTCGACGGGTTTGTGAAGCTTCTTTTGTATGCCCAGCCGTATGAAGCCCTTGCATTGCATAACTGCCTTGCGACGAGACACTGTTTCGTTTGTCTATGGTCCCCATCTCACATGCACCCCCATACAGGATATCAGTCCTCAAAACAGCTTACTGATATGAAATGTAAGCAGCGATCAATCCATGCACGCCTGTGTGGGAAGCGGCAGGAGGGGCTGCTGAGCGTATGCATGGCGAAGGGGGTCGCCCTCCTGGCCGGGATGTGGCGTCTGAATATCACACACACACACACACACAGGCGCATAAGCACATGGGCAAATGTGATGTGTGTGTTGAATGGAGGGAGGAGTCTCTCGTACTCGAGGGTGAGGCTCTCGGCGTCGTTCTTAACGGTCATGGCCTCGCGACGCCTCTGATCCAAATCGCTGATAAGACACAACAGAGCGTGGGCAAGAGAAAGATACATACCGCGGAATAGCGAGGAACTGTCTGTCTGTGTGTGGGGGTTTGTCCCTCCCTCACTCACTCACCTGTGTGGCTCAGCGTCCTGCACCATATTCCTGATACCCACGTCGCTCAGACCACCGCTCCAGGACTGAATTACGATGTCCTGACGCGCAACGCAACACAATATGCCACGAATGTATCCCTCCCTTGTCCCTGGTCATCCATCATCCATCATGTGTGTGCGGCCAGTGCAGTGCGGTGACTGCACGTACCTGTTTGTGTCCGGTGGGGTGGTGGGCGTTCCACATGTGCAGGATGCCTTTGGCGTCGGTGGCCAATGTGACCTCCATGTCCGGCGGGCGGGGGATGCCGACGAGCAGCTCGCACCGACCCAGCCCCTCGTTGGCCGCAGCCATCACACGCTCGCCCAGGATCATAGACTTGATACCGACCTAAGTTACAGGGAGGGAGGGAGGGAGGGAGAGGGAAGGAGGGGATGGACGACGGGTCGCTTTTGTGTGTGTTCGGGGCAGGGGAGGGGTGGTGTACTTGAGTCTGCTTGTATGCGGCAGTGGAGAAGACCTGTGGCATTTTGGTGGGGATTGTGGTGTTGCGGTTGATCAGCCGGCTAAAGACGCTGCCCAGCGTCGACCATGCTACGGCCTGCACGTGGAAACGTGATAGAAATAATAATACATGGCATGGTCTCAGACGCCCACAGAGAGATGGATGAGTACACACCTCTGGTGTGTCGTCCATCAAGGCGACCGTTATTGCAGCAGTATTGACGGCAGCGTAGATGGACGGCACGCCGAATTGGTCGCTGCCGTCAGCTCTGGCGAGCACTAGCGCTGCACACACAGACAAAGGGCATGGGTGAGTCGCATGGTCTCCAAGATACATCCATCACCGCACCCACCCATTGAGCCATCTGCGTAGTCGTCGCCAGCCGGCCTGGGCGAGTGCAACTAGGACGCTGCAACCACAGTAACGTCGCACGATGAATGAATGCATCCACCGCCTGCGCTCATGTATCGCTTACCACCACAGTATCATAAAGATGAAGAGAACCGCGTCCAATGCCAGCACTAAGTCGCTCTTGCTCTGCGCACGCTCCAGTTTGCTGGGCGTCGAAGCGGGCTCCCATGTGCTCGGCGCCTCCTGTCTGCTGGGCCTTAGGATGATGAGCACCACCAGGGCGATGCACATGAAATAGACGGCGACGCAGTCCATCCATGGCACGGACCTATGCAAGAAAAGAGCAGCGCATTCGAGCGCCGATAGCCACTAAGTAAATACATCAGCATCCGTCGAGAAAACACGCCGATCGCACTTGCGAGCTTTTACCTGTGCGGTTGTTCTTCCCCCTTTCCTCCCTCCATATTGCCACAGGGGCACAGACGCAGGGGCCTGTAGATCTCTATCGTTTTTTGGCAGAAGAAGCACACCTCCGCCCCACATCTGCTTGAAGGGGTGCCATGGGAGAGTTCATGTACCTCGACACCTCCGCGCGGCTCAACGCGGTCAGCGACACGCCAAACACACGCCCACAAAGCAGATCTGCATCTGCCTGTCTGCCTGCGTCTGTGTGTTGGCATCGTCTGTCTGTCAGTACGAGAGCCAGTTGAGTGAGTACTCGCGCCGCTCGCAGACGGCCAAGGCCGACTCTGCCGCCTATGAGCGGCGCACCGCCAGCAAGGTGGCCAGCCTGGAGGAGACCACCACAAGTCTCAAGAGGGAGATCAAAAGCAAACAGACCGACTACCAGGTGGGTGGGTTGGTGGTGCATGGGCAACAGGGGAGAGGATGTCGCACTGCAATGTCCTCTCCCTCTCTGTGTTGTGTGTTCAGTGTTTGTTGCAGAAGTACGAGCACGCCAGCAACGAGCTGCAGGAGTCGCTCACCAAGTGCCGCGACGTGAGTAACCACCCAACCACGGGCCCTACAAAAAATGACTCTTGTCTGTCTGCCTGGCTGTCTGTCTGTCTGTTTGACATTCCTTCAGTACGAGCGTCAGGTGCGCGAGCTGCAGGCCACCCAGGACAGGAGCCGCGGTGAGAGCGAGAGCCTCACACACCGGACGGCCGAGCTGCTGGGCATGAAGGCCGCCCTCGAGTTCCAGGTGCGGGAGATGCGGGCCGAGATGGAGGACCTAGCTGACAAACTCGACAAGAAGACCCACGACTATGACGTGAGAGTGAACGGGGAGGGGGAGGCAGGGAGGGAGGTAGAGAGAAGGGGGCGAGGGGCATGGCGCGTGTTGGTTATTTTCTAAGCTGGGAGCGCCATGTGGGGTGGGTGTGTTCATGATTGGTGGGGCTTCCTTCCCCCAGGCTTTGTTGCAGAGGTATGAGGAGCAGGGCGACGAGCTGCACACAACCGCACTGCAAGTCAAAAAGGTCGGCATGTGCTCGCGAAGACAAACACAAATACAACACATACAACACGGATATGCCATGCGCTTCTGTTTGTCTGTGTGCGGGGTGTTGCTGACTTTCTTGTATCAGCTGGAGGATCAGTTAGCTGAGTTTCTGGCGCCCACTATTGTGTCGCTGCCTCGCCGCGCATCGCTCGATGGCGCCACCACTGCCGGAAGTAGGAGCAACAACACACACACGTGTGACGCGTTTCTGACGCCCCTCCCTCCCCTCTCTGTGTGTCTGCTGCAGCGACTCCGCCCCTCACGCCTGTGTCCATGACCTCATTCCACAAGACGTCGCAGCACCGATTCGACGCCCTCCCCGCCGAGCCCCACGCACACACGCACGGCTACTTCACCACCAAAGGCATCACCACCACCACCACCACGGCCAGCACCACAGGGCAGTCGGTGCATGAGTACGCCGAGGACAAGATCGGCGAGTGCATGCAGGGCCTCGTGGGCGTGCTCAAGGGCATCATCACTGTGATAGAGGGCGGCAGCTGCGGCAGCAAGTGTGCGGCGCGGCGTGTGCGTGAGGAGGAGGGTCGGAGCGAGATCATGCACGACGACGATGTGGGCGTCGGCGGCGCTGACAGCGACGGTGGGGAGGACTGGTGAAGGGAAGGAGGGCGGATGGCTGGCCGGGTGGTTGAGGGCTTTTCTGGCGCTTTTGGTCTGCGTGCGGTGTGTTGGCTTCATGTGTGAGTGAGTGTGTGTGATGGGCGAAGCCCTGTCGAACACCCCAATGTGTGTGGGTGGGTGGGTGAGTCGAGCAAGAGAACCAATGGAGAGAGGGGATGGGAGGGAAGGGGCGTCTTTTATCGATTTGTTTGTTTTCGTTCGTTCGTTCGACTACTGTGGAGCAGAGGATGCATGTATACATGCAGACGATGCCGGTAGGTATGAGTAAGGGTGTGTACTTACGTAACAGGGGAACGACGCAAACATGCAGCCGGCGCCGCAGCTGCATACATACGTACGTATCAACATGACCATGATAAGTGAGGGAGTGAGAGGTCGAGTGATTTTTATCAGTGGCGCCACGCCACAGCCACAACCACATTGCGCGGCCGGCTTGCTGACTTGCACTGCACCGATTGCCTTTTCAACACACATATGCACACATACAGACAGACACCGATACTTACATACACACATCACGGACGATTATGTTTTTTTCAATCCATGGGTGTATATGTCTGTCTTGACGTGCCTGGCTGTCTGCATACGCACACACGTACGTACGCGTATGGCCGTCTGCTTTTTTTCGGCCCACCACAGGTGGAGAAGTCTTCTTACCCCTCAGTTGTGTTGCATCGTCGCATGTCGACGGTCGTCGGCCAGCGGACGACCCACGACAGGTGACAGACAGACAGACAGACAGACATCGCAAAGTGGGTGATGCTGTTCATGGTCCCCGTGCATCGTCAAATGTCGTGGCAGTAGATCACGCAGGTCGGAGGTCCCACCGTTTTCTCTGGAACAGGTGAAACGGCGGTTCCTCCGGCTTCGGGGGCAAGCTGACAAACAGGCGACAGGCAGGGGGTGACGAAAAACAAAGCGAAACAAAGCAAGCTCTTGTGGAGGGATGGTGCTGGTTTGATTTGCGCGCGACGATCGAGTGTATGTATGTATGTGTGTGTATGTGTATGCTGTGTACCGTTTTGACACCGATTCGCTCACTGGTGGTGCTCATGTCTTGTGTTTGGCTGGCTCTTGGTATGGACATATGTATGCATGCATATGTGTGTGTGGTGTGTGTGGCGGCCCTCGTATCACACCGAAGGCCACTCGCTCATTCATGTCATGGCATCATGGATGGCATGGAATGACTTGCTTGGCCGGGCTGTGGTTTTGTGAGAGGGTCGCTGGCTGGCTGGCTGGCTGCCTGGCTGGCTGGCTGGTCTGTTCTTCCCTGACTCCCTGTCTCTTTTCTAGTGCCCCCCTCACACACACCCATGTGTGTGCAGCTAGCGCCAGCTATCCATCTGCTGGTGCTGCTGCTGTTGGTGTGGTGTGCTGGTACGGCGTGGCCTGCTGTGGCGTGTGCGTGTGTGTGTGTGTGTGTGAGCGCTGGACGGCTGCGTTTTATGCCAATACGCTGCTGCCGTGCCTAACCGTCTGCTTGTGTGTCTGTGTCTGTCTGCCTGTCTGTGTAGGTACACTTTCTCTCTCCGTCCGTTCGTCCGTCTGGCCATTTGTCTACCTGTCGATCTATCTATCGTCCTCGATTCATTCATGTCCATATCCCACCGCACCAGCTGCTGTGCGCACGAGGGTGTGTGTGTGTGTGTGTAAGTGTGCCGGTCGCTGCTTTTATAGAGAGGAATGAGCCAGGAAGGGAGGGAGGGAGGGAGAGGGGGGAAATGGAGACCGCCCGGATTTAAGTCCTTCCGTACGTCTAGCTCTGTGTATGTAGCTCTCTCGCTCTCTTGGGTCGGTCTCTCTGCCTGCCATGTATGCATTTGGGGGCTCTCGCAACGGCGCGGCGCGTGTGTCGTGTTGATGGATGTGTGTGTGCGAGTGGACGGTTGTGCTGGTGCGGTGCACGCATACACACTTGCGGGCACGCAGGCATAACATAACGAGGGCTCTCTTTACGTACGTGTGTTCCGTCCGTCCGTCCACCCATTGAACGCATTGCCACACTGAATTAGGTAGGGGAGGGGAGGGGGGAAGGGGAGATAGAGGGGACACAGGCAGGCCTACATTCCTTCTAGAATGTTCGTATATGTTCGTGGCTTCGTGTGTATGGTATGTGCTCACTCGATTGCTGGCTGTGTGGCTCGTGTCGTGTACGCGCTTAGTACGTGACGTGACCTCTCTGTCCGTATCTCTCGCTGTCTGTGTGTATGGATGGATGTGCACCGATCTGTCGATGCTCTCGCACCGTGTGCGTGTGTGATGGATGCACGGACAGACTACCGAACAAACGAACGAAGGGACAGAAAGCCATGAAAGAAATGGATCGACACTGGCGGAACACAGCACAGCCTACTCATGGCAACAAAGCGAGAGCAAGCGGAAAGAGTCACCTTGTAAGACAACAATGCACCCAGCCCCGGCACACAGCCCAGCCCATGAAAGAGAGTGCATCAACACATCAACCAATGCACTCACACCTCACCGGTCAGTCAGGCCATGCGTGTGGCTCCCTCCCTCCAGTCATGTGACGGTGTGTGGGTGATGTGGCTGGCGGGTGGGTGTCTGTGTCTCTGTCTCCATCTGCCCCGGTGCGAATGAGGGCGGCGACGAGGGCCCATCCCCGTCATGCGGGGCGCTGTGGTCGCCCACCGGCTGGCTCGGATGGTTGTGTTGGTGGGAACTCGGCACATATGACGATGCCCGCCTGCTTGAGGCAGACATACACATGAGTGGCGTTGGGTTGGCCTCTCTCCCCGCCTGCCTGCTTACTTTGGGGTGAAAAACTTGGCAAGTGCGTCTGTGAGTGAGGGTCTCCTGTGCGGACCGCCTCCATCTGGCTCGGAGATGACGCTGGCACGGTGGCGATGGCCGCCCATGTTGCTACTCCTGCATGGCATGATGTCCCAAACACACACCCTTTTGCAGCCATGCGCGTCTCTTTTCCTTCACTCACTCATCGACTGACTAACCCTGTTTTGAAAGCCTCGCTGCTTCTGCGTGAGAGGCGGCCTACATTGTTGACCACTGCGCCCATGAGGGACAGCCGCCTGCTCCCAGGGACCCCTGCTGACACCGATCGTGGTTCCAGACGGGGAGACACCACGTCGTGATGGTGGGCGGCGGCGTGGTTGAAGGCCTCCTTCAGCCTGCGGGCCCAGGCGAACACACGGCCTTCATGCTCGCCATCTCCAGCCTCATCTGTGTCCGCGTGGCTGGCAGCAAAACGCAAATACATACACACACACACACACACACATGGAGAGGTGTACGCCTCCATCTGCTGGTGTCCCGCTCCCTCTCTGTCTGCCTACTCGTCGCTTATTCTGGAGCCTGATGAGGCATCGCTGCTGCTGCCGCGTCTCCGCCTCACGTACTTGTTGCGCAGATCGCGCATGTCACGCGCGGCGCTCTCCTTCTCCTGCATCAGACACTACACACACACACATACACACACAGAGAGAGAGAGAGAGGGGGAGGGGCGGGCGAATGCGGTACATCCAGCAATCCTTCGCTCACCCTTAGCTCCGACATGCGTTTAGGCCGCGCATCGACGGGCGTGTAGCACACGTCCACCTCGAGGCAGAAGAACTCGTGTCGCCTCCCCGTGATGGAACTGTTGACTGAATCGCGCCGTGACGCGGCAGCCGACCCATACGCCCTGGGGCCGCGCTCAGCGTCCTCGTTCATGTCAAAGTCCACACGGCCTTTCTGTTTCGCCATCTCTGTGGTCTCTGAGACGGCATCTTGCGGCTGCAGTTGTCCTGGCTCTTCCTTTTGACCACCTGGGATTTCTTGGGTCGGCCTGTCATCTTCCTCGTCGTCTACAGCGGCGTTATCGCCCTTCAGATGCGCAGGCCGCAGGCACAGTGCGGCATCGTGGAGCACAGCACTGGCCGGTGCTTCGAGCATGGATGTCTCCGGCTGTGTCTGTGCGAGTGCGGCCGCTGCGTCGAGGGCCGTGGTGTTGATAACGTTGGTGATGTCTTGAGACGGGGAGCGGGCCTCTCTTTCGTCGTCCTCTGAGAACATTTTCGAGTGCTTCTTGACCCAGCTGCCCTTCTTGAAGAGTATCAACTTGTTACGAGACCCGGATGCATCCAATGCGCGGCGACTGGAGAACAAGGAGCACAGACGAGATAGAGGGAAGACCGACAAGAGTACATATACATTGAAGAGGGTGCGTATATCGCATGTGTGTCTTGGTTACGTGTTGAAGTCGCGCAGGAGGTCTTTGGGCGAGGAGAGGGGGTCGGCGGCGTCCTGGATGGACGCCACGCTTCCCTTGCGCATCTCACGGACCTGAGGCTCGCTGAGCTCGACCTGGATCCTGGTCTCCTGACAAACAAAACACAGAGGCATGTACCATCAGCCGTCTCCTTTGTACCTCCCTCTCGCCCTCTCGCCCTCTCGCCTCACCTTCTTCTCAATGCTTGGTCGGCCCCTGACGAGGCCAGGCTTTGATGGCGACATGGCCACACTCTCACTTTCACCAGCACCAGCGGCCGAGGCCGAGGAGTCATCGTTCCTCAAACTGTTCCTGTGTGTGGGCATCGAGATATCGCCCGACAGCAGGTCGGCGAGCGGTAGCTGGCCCTCGGCCAGAGCTATCGATTTGCCCGTTACGGCCACACACATGAGGCGGAACCACGCGTGCAGCCTGCTGTAGTCAAAATGATCTCTGATGGCGAAATCGATGCTCTCCGACCACTCGGGATTCAATGACTTACGCTGAATGGACAGACAGGGCAGAGACATGAGGGAAGAGGGTTGGTGCATTCGATTGCTAGCGCGTGTATGTGTGTGTGTGACCTTGACGCGAGTCTTCTTGCTGTAGTGGGAGCCGAGGGATTGCAGCAAGGGCTGGAAGTGGGCGGCCAGGGGAGTTCCGTCCACCAACTCGATCTGACCATACGTACACAAAAGCACACGTGACCTCTCCACTTCTGCGTGAGCTTGTGCCTACATGGACGTAGAGGTCGAATCGTTTGGTTGGGTCGACGGGCGACAGGCCGTAGAGCTTGCAGATAGTTACATTCAAGACTCCCACAACGTCCTGCAGATCCACACCCAGCACATACATGGATGACGCAGGCAGTGCCACCACTTTCTGCCGCGTACCAGGTTTTGTTCCTGGGCAATCTCCATCATGTATTTGTTGCCGTCTTTGGGCAGCGGATTACTGAACTTGGAGTAGTTCAGCCGCACTTTGGCCTTGTTGAACGCCCGATAGAGGATGTCAAGGTTGTCCTTGGCATCTTTGTCACGCCACTCGACGGATCCCAGGTTCATGATGAGGCCGCGAAGTATGTGATCCAAGACATCGTGCTCTTCGGTGTCGTGTTCCTGCGACACGCGAGGCCCAGGATGCTGATTGCCAATCATGGGGCGATAGTGGAATGGGCTTACGGTGACGTCCAGGCCCAGGAGTTCGTCCTTTCTGGAGGCTCTCAAATGGAATCCCGTGTAGTTGAGGAGGATGGCCAGTCCGCCCGTCGTCACGGCCGCCCACAGATTAATCACCAACACACCGGCCAACTGAATGAGTAAGCGATGGGAGAAGGGAGAAGGGATGATGAGTCTGTCTGCCCCTCTGCGGTGGCTGACCTGTGCGCCAAACAGTTCCCATGCGGCTGTCGTTTGATCTTTGCCCTTCGCGTAGAAGAGACCCACGAGGTCTCTCCCACCGCACTGGTTCTGGATGGCGAACAGGCCGATAGCCAACGCGCCCCAGTTGCCGGCAGCTGCATCAACAGAGAGACACGAAGCAGACATCAATCAGGTCCTGGCTGCCGACTTACCCATGTGAACAGGTATGGCGCCGACGACATCGTCCAACTGAGAACCCAAAAAAGTGCGTGGTCGGTTCGGAGTTATCTTGTTGACTCACTTACCCTAGAGTACTCGAGCATCATCTTGCACACGAAGCATATGTAGCCCCCCGTGACAGCCACAATGAAGCTGTCAAAGGTCTTGAACCACAAACAACCTGAATGGGCGCGGGACAGACACCGCACACACATAAACAGAAGCACGAAGGCATGCAGGAGTCGCGTATGCAGGAGACGGTGATGCATCCATACCGGCGGTGACGGCCACGAGGCCGGAGAGTACCCCACAGGAGATGTCTTCGGGTTGCGCCTTGCGTGTGCTCGAGAACAGCAAAGACCATGTGAGGCCAGCGAGGCCGCCACCCAGCGCACCTGCACAATTCCGCGAGGAGGGCCGCATTGATTGGCCGTCCGTCTCACTGCCGTCAATATGTACCCATGGTAGTGTTGACAGTGACGATGCCGACGAGATAAACATTCTCGCCAGAGATGGCGGCAACCGAACCGGGATTGAAGCCAAACCTGAGACATACACACAGACACACAGAGACAATGGGCTGGTGGTTTCATGTATACCTATACGCACGTATGTATGTATGTATGTGTGTACGTATTGGTACGTAGATGAGGTGTGTGTATGCGTATTGTCTGTCTGTGTGGCTGAGCTGAACGGTCAGACTGACCATCCAATCAAGAGCATGAATGTCCCAAAGAGCAGAGACACTGCATCTGGGCAGGGCGAGATGGTGTACGTCTTTGTCGGCGCCTAGACACCCACACGCACCCCCACGGACACACATACGATAGACGTACAGCCATCCATCCATCCATCCACTGTCAAGCACACCAACCACAACCCGCCATGAGTTCAAAAACCGGTAGTCGGCCACAGCTGGTTCAGGTGGATAGTCAGCCACTAATGCTACATACAGGTCTGTATGCGTGTGTGTATGTGTGCAATTATGGCGTATGTATGATAAGAATGAATGGTTATACGTACCATCCAAACACGAGCAGAAGCGTCCCGAACAGGCAGAGAGTCGCCTGCGGCATCTTCGTGACTTTAGGCACGCTGGAAGAGGCCTTCAATGCAACCATGCAGAGACAAAGCGGCGCATTTCCTGCCTGGCTCAGCTAAGGATCTCAAGTATTTGTGTAAGGATGCACTCATGGCCGGCAGGCACTACCATTCCTGGTTTGCATGCTCTCTCTGTGTGTGCCTACCTGGTAGTACAAGGGATCAGCCGGGCGCTGGCACAGCGGTTGGAACAGCCTATACAGACACACCGAGACGCGGGAAGGTTGTCATGTGTCCTCTCTCCATAGCCCTCATTCTGACCTCCTTTGTGACGGTTTGTAGTCCTTAAACCTCCCGATCCGTGGCCCTATGTACACACACGGGTGCGTCGATCGATGAAGCGACGTGTCGGCCCCGGCGGATGGATGCATCCGTGTGTATGACTGACTGACTGGCGACCGACCAAGAATGAAGATCAGCACCAAGGCGCCCATCCCACCAAGGGCATGGATCGCAGCACCACCAGCGAAATCAACAAACCCCAGCTGGTACAAAAAGCCGTCTTCGTTCCATACGGCCCACGCGCACATGGGGTAGATAAAGCCTGCCGTCAAGGCAGAGATGACGATGTACGGGCCGAAGCTGAGGACACACATGTGGACGCGGTGCAGTCGACGAAGACTGCGATTTCTGTACCTGATTCTCTCTGCGACGGCGCCTGAATCGATGGTGGATGCCGTGGCTGCAAACGAGAACTGGAAAAACCTGCAGACCAATGGAGGTCTGTGTTGTGCAGGCCTTGACTATCGCTGTACCAGTGTGCCGAGTCCTGCGGCTCGAATTCCCATTGCCAGCTCAAAAGAGTGAAGGCAATCGGATACCCAACTGAGCGCACACACACACACTTACATTTCTGCTGAACATGTGATGGGTGGTCTAGCTTACTGAAGTAGAATGACAGTCCACCCACCACCATATCGGCCATATTCTGATCGCAGTGCATCCATACCACCATGCTTGTCAAAACACACGGAGAAGAGCCGGCCCCTCTTATCTACCTTCATCATGATGTTGACGTTGTTCTTTTTGCTCACACATCCCGCCTCCACCATACCAAAACCTGACAAAGTGTGTACGCCCAACCACACATCGTTGCAGGTGGCACCAAGACACAACCAACTTTCGGGAGGGACAGCTCACCTCGCCTCGCCTCGCCTCACCTCACCTGCTTGCATTGAAAGAATGAGAAAGGCTGAGCTGTACAGCCACGCATTGTCTTGGATGTCACGGTTCAGCCGTCCACAAGAAGGGATGTACGGCAACAAGTCCGCCTCAGCCATAAGCGGAGGTTTCTCCTGGGGCGTTGGGGTGTCGTCGTGCTGCTTGTGTCTTGTTGATAGGCTTCTGCAGCTTATCCGAGCTGATGTTCGTCCTCTTGGTGGCTCCAGCTATCGTTCTTCGGCTGCGCGTGGCCGCAAGAATATTCAGACAAGTGGCGTGAATGCCTGCCCGAAGGCATGCCTGCCCTTCGGGCAGGCAGGCGCGGAAAACAGCAAAAGGGGATAGAGCAGAGGCGTGGTTTTATGGGAAGTATGATTTCCAGGTGTGTGTGTGTGTGTGTGCAGGTGTCGAGAATCGAGGCGGCAGTCTTTCACTGAATCATTGGGACTTGCTCGCTGCACGCCTGTGGCTGTTTTTCTGCCGAGGAACGCCTGTCTCGGCTGTGACTGTGATTCTGAGCTTTGCTAAGATCTCTTGAGATCTGTTGGCAGTCATGAGTGACCAGAAGAGCCCAGAGCAGGCCGCAAAAGAAGTGGCAGAAGGAGCTGGTGGTGAGGACCTGGAGCAGCTGGCAGCGCTGATCAGCGACTATGACCGGGCAGTGCGCTGTGATGACCTGGCAGGGGTGAGCGGACCACGGAACCCGAACACCATTCGGAGGGAGGCAAGTGCTGGTGTGTGAGGTGTGTGTCCTGCAGGTG